CTAAAAGTATACAATGGAAAAAAGAGAGCATCTTCAACAAATTGTGCTGGCAAAACTGGATGTCAATCTGTAGAAGAATGAAAATAGACCCATATCTATCACCATGCACAAAACTCAAGTCCAAGTGGATTAAAGACCTCAATATCAATCCAAACACACTGAACCTGATTGAAGAGAAAGTGGGAAGTACTCTACAACACGTGGGCACAGGAGACCACTTCCTACGTATAACCCCAGCAGCAAAAATTAACATTAATAAGAAAGGTTGTAAATACATATTCTTGCATTTTTAATATAATTCTTTCTGGTCACATAAAAGGAAATATAATATAAAGCCAATGGTTCTACTCTTGATTTTAAAGTTCCCTCTACAGTTTACAGTCAAGAGAACAGGTGTAACTCACAAAAACTGAACCAACAAAGGAAAACAAAGTCCCGAGTCTGCTTTCCAGCACCCACATGGAGAGTCAGAACTACTTGTAACTCTAGTTCTAGGGACTTGTACACTCTTTGCTGGTCTCTGCCTGCATTGAACACATGTGATGCACTTACATACATGTAGGCAAAACACTCATGCACATAAAAAATCAATATGGTAGATAACATGTTTTGCATCCAAATATAGAAGCAAAATAGAAAGTACTGAATTAGCTTTTAAAATGATAAATTATTCAAAAACAGAGAAAGCCACTGTCCATTGCATACTGCCAGAGAAGCACAGAGCAGTTGGAAGCCAGCTGTACAGGCACAGAGAAGGCAAATATGAGAGCGATGGACATGAGAGTGGAGAACAGGGAAAATAAGCTGGAGAACAACTTGAGGACAGCTGAAGCTGTAGATATAGGGAGGAGAAAGGAAGCAGAAAGTAAAAAGAGGGAAAGGGTAAAGAGAAGAAAGGCAGGGCAGAGCAGGGCAGGGGATGAGAGGGAGGATAGTAGGTATAAGAAACAGAGAAGGCAGGAGGTAATTTTGTGGAATCAGTGGAAAATGAAAATATGTAGTCCTTTATTCAAAAATGTATGAACTTGAAGCTAAAAACAGCAGAATATCAAATCCTATTCAGAAGTCTCCGATGTGGGGAAAACTACAACTGCACAGGTCACATGCTGAAGAAAGTGGCTCCAGGGGCTGAAGAGATGGCCCAGTGGTTAAGATCACTAGCTGCTCTTACAGAGAACTCATGTTTGGTTCCTAGCTCCCACAGCAGCCAGCTTACAACCAGTTACAGCCTCTAACTCCAGCTCCAGGAGATCAAATGCTCTCTTCTGTCCTCTATGGGCACCCACACACATACACACAAATGTACACACATAACACCTAAATAAAAAAATAACAAATCTTTAAAAAAGAAATCAGTCCTGAAAACATAACCTCATGACTAGCTCCATTCCTGTTTGTTCTAAGGAGAAGAGCCCTAAGCAAAATGCTAAACAAACAAAAAAGTATATATAAATAATCCAGTCAGACTCCTACTCAGGGGAAAAGGTTTAGCAAATCCATGTATGTAAACACGCACACATGTGCACACACACAGTATTTATATATAACAGTAAAGTAAAGTCATGTCAATTCAGCAACTGTTTCTTGCTAAAAAAAAAAAAATAGAAACTATGGGATTTTCACAGCATGGGGGAACAGCTTCCTCCATGAAGTCTGTGAATAAGAAGATTTAAGGAACACAAGGAACATTCTATATTCCAAAGACAGACACAGAAGAGCATCAGAAATCATGAAAGGGGAGGCAGAGGAGCTGAAAAGAATGAAAAACACAAAGGTTATGCAAAGAAAAGTAGGTAACAGGCTGTAGTTCCAACCCTGGCTCTCTGGATATGAGGACCCAAAGCCAAAAGCACAAGGTAAGCCAGGCAGTTCAGGGAAGACAAGCAGTCCTGGAAACAGGACATGCCTACAGTTGCCATGTACGTTGAACCCAATAGTCAGATGAGTAGATGGGGAAATTTGGTGTGACAGTGATAGCTCGGCAGGGGAAGAATTCATTTTTGTCACTGTGATGGTGTGAAAGAAAGTGACCCCCAAAGGGGGTGGCACTATTAGAAGGTGTGGCCCTGTTGGAAGAAGTGTATCACTATGGGGGCAGGCTTTGACGGCTCTTTGGCTCAAGCTTCCCTCAGTGTGGCAGTCAGTTGACTTCCTGTTGCCTTGCAAGATACAGCACTCTCAGCTATTTCTCTAGCACCACATCTGCCTGCACAGCACCATGCTCCCCGTCATGTTCAGACTAAACCTCTGCAACTGCAAGGGAGTCATCCCAATTAAATGCCTTCTTTGTAAGTGTTGTCCTATTCATGGTGTCCCTTCACGGCAATTAAAAACCCTCAAAGGGGGCATTGTTTGAGCTAGATAAAGGCAGGATAAGTATGTTTTAAATACACGATATATGTATAACTATGTCATAATGAAACCCATTATTTTATAGAATGAAAATAATTTAAAGGTTTTCTTCCTGAATATTTTCTTTAAACTATTCTATTTATTTACAACAAAAAAGCAATTGATATTGGAAACACTGGGGTTGCTTTCTCATTTCAAACAAAGGAAATAGCTAGTAGTATTTCTTTAGGTTCTACATAAATATTTTATTTTTAAATTCAGCTATATCTTTTTTTTAAATATTTATTTATTATGTATACAATATTCTGCCTGTGTGTATGCCTGCAGGCCAGAAGAGGGCACCAGACCCCATTACAGATGGTTGTGAGCCACCATGTGGTTGCTGGGAATTGAACTCAGGACCTTTGGAAGAGCAGGCAATGCTCTTAACCTCTGAGCCATCTCTCCAGCCCAATTCAGCTATATCTTATGCAACAGGATGTGCTGGTTAGTTTTCTGTCAACTTGACACAAGCTAGAGTCATCTGGGATGAATGAATGGATAGATAGGTAGATAGGTAGATAGGTAGATAGGTAGATAGATAGATAGATAGATAGATAGATAGATAGATAGATAGATAGATAGATAGATCGGCAGTTTAAAATATCTAATATTTTCTTGTACTCTGTAAGCTAGAAAAAAACTATTGATTATACTGACTTTCATACAAACTCCTATTAAAGATAATTTCTATTTAAATCTATACTGTTGATTTCACAGGTTTGTTTTGCTTTTAACAGGAAGCTACAGTTATTTCAACTAAAAAGTACAATAAATTAAAACCTCAGACAACTTCAGCTAGATTCTTTATTAAGTGATTTATAATAATAGAAAAATAAATGCACAAACTAAAAGGTTGCTTTAAACAGGAAAGCACGCAATATTAAATCCTAAGATGGATTTTAGAAAGCAAACTTACAATATCAGAAATGGTTTATACTTACAGGCAAATGAGTAAACACTTGAAAGATGCTTCTCAAAAAATTAATAAGATCCATTAAATAACCACTTGCTCTTCCATCCGACTCAGCCATTGTCCAGTCATAATCAGCCAGTTGAACAAATTCATCAATTTTTTGATTGAGTTTGGTATATATTTCCCCTTCTGCTGCATGTCGAGCATCCTGAAACAAAAGACAGCAGTAAGAAACAGTTACAGAAGCAAGTAAATTTTTAAATTTTAAGTGTTTTGTTTTATACAGTAAAGGTGTTTTCTGACACCTCAAAGCTGATCTGAATGGTGTCATGTTAGCTTTCCTTCCCAATTCTACTGTCAACTTTTGGTCTTAAGAGGCCTGTCTTGGTTTCCTTCCCTACTGCTGTGATGAAACACCCTGAAAAACCAACTTAAGGGAGACCCTGTTTATTCCATTCATCTCACACAGATGCCAGCTGCTGCTCAGTAACCTTTCTTTACTTATAGAAATCCCAGACCCCAGCCAGAAGAAGGTGCTACTCACAGTGCCTTCCCCCCTTCCTCAATTAACAAACAAGATAGTCCCCTACAAGCATGTCCAGTGGCTCATCTCCTGGATGATTCTAGATTCGTTCAGCTGACAATACTAACCATCACGTATGAACCCCTGACTTGTTCTCCTAACAGCCTATAAGAACGGCCCTTAGGAAGAACAGAAGCCAGAAAACAGAGATTGTTGATGATGCAGACACCACACAGAGTCACTAAGGGAAAGTAAGTTGGATATCACAGAGAAAATAGAAGATAGTTGTCTTCTCAGATGGCTGGTTTCAGAATCTTCCTCCCATTACAAACAATAAATTAAGGTCCCTTATAAAATGGTATAGCATTCACTTATAATTTAAGTTGTAAGACTTTAAGACAATCCTGAAGCCATTTTTGACGATTCTGAATCCTCTCAGCCTCTGTGCCATAGTGCTTCCCCTCCTCCCCTGGGAACCAAGGACCTAACAGCTACACTCGCACGTACTCAGTTCCTGAACAATTACCCATATACGTGTGCTTTGGTTCAGTCCCCTGGGAAACGGGGTCAAAATGACCTCTCACCTCATCTGATCTGGCAACAGCTCTCCAGTCAATTATTGATAATAGCCCTTTCAAATAAGCCAATCAGAATAGTCAAAGAACAATCCCCCTGCTTCTGTTGCCCCTTTAAAAGTAGACTGTACCAGCTATTCGAGGTCCCTCGGCTTCCCGAATGCTGGGGGACCCTATCATGACAGAATTAATAAAATCCTCATGCTTTTGCATTGGCTGTGGTGTGTGAGATGGTCTCTGGGGGCGACTCCTTCTCGGTGTTTGGACGCTAGAGTCCAACATTTGGTTCCCTGACCGGGAATCAAGTCACTCCCAGACACACTCTAGACCCAGTTAGAGGTATAAAGAAACAAGCTCATTTTTATGTCTGTCTGTTTGTCCGTTTCTGTGTAATTGTGAATTAGTAATCTGAGAATTGTACCTGCGCAGGGCTAAAATTTGAAGGGGACCAGGCAGTAGGACAGATGTGTCCGGGAACACTCCCTGGCCCAGCCGTGGAGGACGCTTCACTGGCAATTTGTGAAACTAGGAGCGACTAGGTCATCTTAGTTTCTAGGGAGTGTGGCCCTTATCGCCCACTCCCTTCCAAGTTCATATCGGTTTGTTGCGGCGCGGCTTCTGATTTTGAGTCCATGTCTGTCTTTTTGTTCTTGTGTATTTTCAGTTCTACACCAGAGTGGTGGTGAGAGCACCAGCTTCTGGTTTTGAGTTTATGTCTGTCTCTTTGTATTTTTTGTTTTTGTATGTCGGTTTATCTTTGTTAAAATCCACCTGCAGGAATTCAGAACCTGGCACCGGCCCCCTGGCCATCATAAGTTTCCCTGATTCCAAAAGCAGCCCCATTGCTGGAGGAGATGGTGGCTGCCCCTCCCCAAGCCCTTTGTCTTCTCTCTTTCCTGTACAGGAGCAAAAGAAACCCAGAATCCAGGCACCTCCTGTTCTTCCTGATATCCAGCCGAGCATGACAGACTTCTCCCTCCTCCTCCCCTTGAGGAAGCACTTCGTTCCTGAGGAGCCCCGCTGGTCGGGCCCTAGCCCTGAAAACTTCAGTACTCAGAATCTATGCTGGGACAGGGGAAGGATGAGAATGACTTCCCAAGCATTTCCCCTTCGCTCAGTAGCAGGCCAATTACAATACTGCCTTTTTCTGCCTCTAATCTTTACTTACAACCCTTCCTTTTCTCGGGACCCTCAGGCCGTGACCAGGCTTATAGAATCTGTTCTGGTTATTCATCAGCCCACTTGGGATGATTGCCAGCAGCTCTTACAGGTGCTCCTAACTACAGAGAAAAAAAGAATGTCCCAGGAGCTGACAGCAGGCCAACCCAATCACCAGACAAGAAAGAGGATGGGACTTCAATACTCCAGCTGGTAGGGAGCAGCTCCATCTTTATTGCCAGAATCCAGTTGGCAGGTCTAAAAAAAAGGAGGGGGGTTGCAAAGCACCCCACTAATTTGCTAATTTGGCTAAGGTAAGAGCAATAGTACAAAGGTCTGATAGTACTCCTACAGGATTTTTAGAAAGACTATTAGAGCGGTACAGGATGTAAACTCATTTTAATCCCATGGCAGCAGATCGCCAAGCCAATGTAATGATGTCTTTTATGGGCCAGTCAGCATCAGACATTCGTAACAAGTTGCAGAGAATGGAGGGACGGCAGAGATGCTCCCTCCAGGACTTAGCAAAAAAAAAATTAGACAGAGGCAACAGAAGACGACAGCTGCAGAGACTGTGCACCTCAGACAGAGCATTTGGCCCTGAGTGGCCCTACAGGACTTTGGGCTCGAGACACTTCCCAAAGCAGCTGCTGGGCAGAAGCAGGTCAGAGAACGGCGCCAAGCATAGCCGGCTACTGAAGCGGCACTCTGCCCACCTGAGAGGCCAACGCAGCAGCCACAGTGATAGTACTGAAATTCCCCCCCCTTGCTTATGCTGTGCACCCAGGTGTTCGATTCTGGGGTGTACAAAGAAAAAAGGGAGGGATTCCCCCTCGCTATGTCTAAAGCATTTGACTATGGACACAAGGATGGTTGGTTATTCCTGAATGTCCCATACTTTTATTAAAAAAAGACCTGTTGGAGACTTTGATTTCCCCTACTGTTCTCCAGGACTGTAAAGAAAAGCAGGCTGCTCTCTGCCTTTGCCATGTTCACCTTGCTGAGGAAGGCTTTGCAGCCACTGCCGGCTGAATCCTCCCAGCTGCCTTGGTCACAGCCCAAGCCTGGGAACTCTGCTTACAGCCACCTGCCCCCGCAGGTAGCAACTGACTGAAGCGAGGAGGGGCCCGGGAGGTTCCGGAGCCCAATTCCAAACA